AAAAAAAAAGAAGAAAGAAAATGAGTTTATAAGGAATACCATAACCATTTAATGATACTGTCTTGCCATGTTTTAATTCCACAAATTTAAGTTAATGTGTATTAACTTATTACTCAACATGTCAAACAAAATCTTTGCATGTTATAAAACTGATTTTTGTTGTAGTTGCTGTAACAATCAGTGATTTTTCAAGGTTCTCTTAAAGCAAAGGAATGGTTATTAAGCCACTAGAGGGAGCTCCGTGGACGTATTTCATTATTTTACCTCTGATTTTTTTTTTTTTTGAATCAGGCCTCAAGCTGTTGCCCTGAGTAGAGTGCTGGGGCATCACAGCAACCTCCAACTCCTAGGCTTAAGCAATTCTTTTGCCTCAACCTCCCAAGTAGCTGCTACAGGTGTCCACAGGTTCGAGGGCAACCACCTTGACTGAAATCCAAACCATTTGTAACTATCACCTGAATCATTTGTTTTATCATTCAGAATTTTTTTTTTTTTTTTGAGATAGAGTCTCACTTTGTCACCCTTGGTAGAGGGTGATGGCTATTTTTTGGTTGTAGTTGTCATTATTGTTTAGCAGTCCCAGGCTAGATTCAAACCCATCAGCTCTGGTGTATGTGGTTGGCGCCTTAGCCGCTTGAGCTACAGGTGCCAAGCCTTGCCTCTGATTTTTAAAAAGAAACAAAACAATTCTCTGAGTAGGAATGTTTTATGTTACTGTATTTTTCTCTTCAGTGTAGAAATAATGTCCTGACCTGTGTCATTTCATAGGAATAGTCTGGCTTTTGATTTCACAACTATTTGAATATAAGGCAATATGGAACATCAGAGGATGAATACAACCTTTGCCTTCTTACAGCTTACCCAAGAGTAGGTTGGTGTTTTAGTTAAAGATCCTCTTTTTTATCCCACCTTACTGTGTAACATATATAAAACCTAGTCATTTATATTAAGCTACATTATTACTCAATATTTTTAAATTGATATTGTGCATCTGTAATCCTAGCACTCTGGGAGGCCAAGGTGGGTGGATTGCCTGAGCTCAAGAGTTCAACACTAGCCTGAACTCCATTTCTAAAAATAGCTGGACATTGTGGCAGGCGCCTATAGTCCCAGCTACTTGGGAGGCTGAGAAGAGGATTGCTTGAGCCCAGGAGTTTGAGGTTGCTGTGAGCTATGATGCTGCAGCACTCTGCCAAGGGTGACAAAGTAAAACTCTGTCTCCAAAAAAAAAAAAAAAAATTGATGTTGTGGTTCACAAATTTCGAGACTGGTGCTAGACTCGCTGCATAAAAGCACCTGTGGACCTTGTCAAAAGACTACTGTATAGGACTCTGTGTCTAAAGACTACCATTTAGCAACTCTTGGAGATACATACTTTTTTTTTCTTTTTTTGTTTTTGGAGATACATACTTTTTAAAATAGCTTTGCTGAGATATAATTTACATATTATACAGCTTGCCTACTAATTAAATGGTTTTAATATAGTCCCAGAGTTGTACAGCCAGCTCCACAATCAATTTTAGAACATTTTCATCACTCTAAAAATAAGTTCATTTCCCATTTGCAATCACTTTCCTTTCTACTCCTACCCCCACAATCCTGGACAACAGCTTTCTGTCTCTATATCGATTTGCTTATTCTAGACATTTCATTTTATATGAAATGTAATCATATTGCATGGTCTTTGGTGACTGGTTTTTTTACTCAGCATTATATTTTCAAGGTTGATACATGTTGTACCACATATAAGTATTTTATTTCATTTTCATTGCCAGATAGTATTCCTTTGTGTGAATGGAATGTATAATTTTACAAACCAGCAGGTAACATTCTCTATTAGTTTAAATGATTAATATATATACTTGGAAATGCTGTGTGTTTGTAACACTGTTTATTAAAGAGCATTATCTACAGTTTTTCATATATTTCTACAGTAGTATATGAAAGACTAGGAGTTGCCCTCCACTAGTAGTTGCCTCCTACTAGTGGTGGGAAAGTCATTTCTTTTTCTTTTTCTTTTTTTTTTTTTGGACACAGAGTCTCACTGTGTCACCTTGGTAGAGTGCGATGGCATCACAGCTCACAACAACCTCAAATTCTTGCATTGAAGTGATTCTTTTGTCTCAGCCTCTCAAGTAACTGGGACTACAGGCACCTGTCCCAGTGTCTGGCTATTTGTTTTTGTTGCAGTTGTCGTTGTTTTAGCTGGCCTGGGCCAGGCTTGAACCTGCCAGCCTCAGTGCATGTTACTGGTGCTGTAACCAATGCACTATGGGCACTGAGCCAGGAAAAGTCATTTCATTGTGTGAAGACTAGAGACTTCTTTATGCTTTCATATTTTGCTTTCTTTTAGAGATCTTTTTCCTAAGCAGTAGAAAGCAGCAGGGTGTACTATAAAGATATTTTATGAAACTTGTGGGGGAGTGTGTGTGTGTATTTTCACTATATAGAGATAGGAAACATATTTCTTACAGTGGGTTGCTTTTAGAAAAAGTTTGAGGCTCGGCACCTGTGGCTCAAGTGGCTAAGGCACCAGCCACATACACCTAAGGTGGCAGGTTCCAATCCAGCCCGGGCCCGCCAAACAACAATAATGGCTGCAACCAAAAAAAAAACAACTAGCCTGGCATTGTGGCTGGCACCTGTGGTCCTAGCTACTTGGGAGGCTGAGACAGGAGACTCGCTTGAGCCCAGGAGTTGGAGGTTGCTGTGAGCAGTGAGGCCATGGCACTCTACCCAGGGAGAAAGCTTGAGGCTCTGTCTCAAAAAAAAAAAAAAAAAAAGAACCCAGCCTGGGCCCGCCAAACAACAATGATGGCTGCAACCAAAAAACAGCCCGGCATTGTGGCGGGTGCTTGTGGGCCCCGCCACTTGGAAGGCAGAGGCAGGAGACTCGCTTGAGCCCAGGAGTTGGAGGTTGCTGTCAGCTGTGATGCCACAGCACTCTACCCAGGGTGACAGCTTAAGGCTCTGTCTCAAAAAAAAGAAAAGAAAAGAAAAAGTTTGAAAGCTACTATTGTTTAAATATGTTGGTATTATCTTTATCACATCAACTTTAGCGCCTTTTCTGGGTTAAGTAGTAAGATATATGATTAGCTTAAGTAAGAGTGGAATTGAAATAACTAGCCACAATTAGACAGTAGGATTTAAGAGCCTATAATACAGTCAGGAGGTGGAGCTGTTCTGGCAGTCCACTGGTTACATCAGGTAGTAAACATCCTAAGAGTGGAGTCAGGTGTGAGGTTAGTGCCACTTACCACATTGCTGATACAGCCTTGAGTTAAAATATATTATATCAATAAAATTGATCTATAATGATTTAATTAAAATGCCAAAGCACATTATAAAAGAATCATTAAGACTTGTGTCTGAGCACAAAACTAGTTGAAGATTGGGGAAGAACCCTTTCCCATGGTTTCTTTGAATCTAGTGTTTCGATAGACAACATATCGAACACTAGAGTGTTTATTTTTATTTTTTTTTTGAGACAGAGCCTCAAGCTGTCACCCTTAGAGTGCTGTGGCATCACAGCTCACAGCAACCTCTAACTCCTGGGCTCAGGCGATTCTTCTGCCTCTGCCTCCTAAGTAGCTGGGACTACAGGTGCCTGCCACAACGCCCAGCTATCTTTTGGTTGCAGCCGTCATAGTTCTTTGGCAGGCCTGGGCTGGATTTGAACCCGCCAGCTCAGGTGTATGTGGCTGGTGCCTCAGCTGCTTGAGCCATAGGCGCCGAGCCTAGAGTATTTATTTTTAAAATGCTGTATTTTGTGGGGTGGTGCCTGTTGCTCAATGAGTAGGGTGCTAGCCTCATATACCAAGGGTGATGGGTTCAAACCCAGCCCTGGCCAAACTGCAACAAAAAATAACCAGGTGTTGTGGTGGGAGCCTGTGGTCCCAGCTACTAGGGAGACTGAGGCAAGAGAATTGCCTAAACCCAAGAGCTGGAGGTTGCCGTGAGCTGTGATGCCACAGCACTCTTCTGAGGGCGATAAAGTCAGACTGTGTCTCAAAAAAAATAAAATAAGAGAGTTATGAAAGAATCGCCTTTACCTTTTTCAGAAATTTTCATGAATTTGTAATTTTGAGAGCCTCAAAATCTGTCTAATTGGTATTTTTACTTTTTGTCCAGGCCCATCAAACTCCAGTGAAGAGAGTGAATCCTGGAGAACAAAGGAGGAAAATGTTTGAGGTATAAAGATATGTGTCTGCTTATTTTAAAACTTTGCAAAAATAATTACTTAAAGAAGCAGCAAAATCTTAATAGCATAAGGCCTCCAAACCTTTCCTCCTCATTTCTTTCAAATAAATAACATAACTTTTTTTAAACCTCTCTAAGCATAACTCTGCTAAGGGTATACTAACTTTCCTGCTTAAACTAGAAAAAGTAGGAATTATTATTGGTAATAATGTTCTTTTTTTAATTAAGGAAGCCTCAAGAAAGAGAATTTTGGAATTTACTGAAAAAGAAAAGAAACAAAAGGATCAGGTAGTTTTTTGCTCTTATTTTTCTTTCTTTACAAGTTGAAAATGATAATAGTTTCAAGAATTTTAAGAAGTTTGTCTTTAAAATTTTTAACAGATTATTAATTTAATGAAGGCTGAACAAATGAAAAGACAAGAAAAGGAAAGGGTAAGAGGATAATTTGTTTTCCCATGGTTCATTCCTCCCATTCCCCATACACATAATTTTTTTAAAGGAATACACTGGCTTGGCGCCTATAGCTCAACCGGCTAAGGCGCCAGCCACGTACACCTAAGGTGGCGGGTTCAAATCCCCAGCCCGGACCCGCCAAACAACAATGACAGCTGCAACCAAAAAATAGCTGGGCGTTGTGGTGGGCGCCTGTGGTCCCAGCTACTTGGGAGGCGGAGGCAGGAGACTCGCTTGAGCCCAGGAGTTGGAGGTTGCTGTGAGCTGTAATGCCACGGCACTCTACCCAGGGGGACAGCTTGAGGCTCTGTCTCAAAAAAAAAAAAAAAAAAAAGGAATACACTGATTTCTATTTTATTACTAAATATATTTCATGTATTTTATATAAGATACTTAAAATGGTGTTTTGTTTGTTTGTTTTCCCCCCAAAGTTGGAGAGAATAAATAGGGCCAGAGAACAAGGATGGAGAAATGTACTAAGTTCTGGTGGAAGTGGTGAAATAAAGGTAGGCATTTGTTTTTAAAACTCTGGTTTCACCTTGCTCTTTTAAAATGTGATTGACTGGGTTTCTCCCTTTCTCTTTCTCTCTGTTTAATTTTTACCAAGAATTCTTTAGCATTTATTATGTATTCTTAGTTTTCCTATATGGATTTGATATATAACTTGTACTGGTAACTAATAGGTGACACAGTTAAAAGGTTTATTTGGGCCAGGCACAGTGGCTCACATCTGTAATCCTAGCAGCCTGGGAGGCAGAGGCAGGTAGATTGCTTATGCTCACGAGTTCAAGATCAGCCTGAGCAAGAGTAAGACCCTGTCTCTAAAAAATATAGCCGGGCGTTGTGGCAGGTGCCTGTAGTCTCAGCTACTTGGAAGGCTGAGACAAGAGAATCGCTTAAGCACAAGACTTTGAGGTTGCTGTGATCTGTGACACCACAGCACTCTACCAAGAGTCTCAAAATGAGACCATGTCCAAAAAAAAAATGTTTTATGTGAAGACTGTGATATACCATCCCTGTAGTAGGAATCTTTAAAATTAAGTTAGTTTGGCACACTTCTGCTTAAAATCCATCTGTAGTTTCTGATAGCCTTAAAGAGTAAGTTCTCGGGTGACGCCTGTGGCTCAAAGGAGTAAGACACTGGCCCCGTATGCTGGAGGTGGTGGGTTCAAACCCAGCCCCGGCCAAAAACAAAAAAAAAAAAAAAAAAAAAAAGGATTAAGTTCTCAGAAGGCCCCTCTTAATCCTGTCCCTGCCAATCTCTCCAAGTACATCCCCAGCCATTCCCTATTACCCATTGTTTACTCTGTTCATGCTGAATTAAAGACCATATTTGTAGTTTTCTTGCTAAATCTCTTTGTCCTGTGCTTGTGCCTCTCTTTACTTAATAGCACCCTTTCCTTCCATCTTCACACTCACCCCATCTCCATCCTTTTATCTAGGTAATCAAGCATTAACCTCAATACTTAATCCAAACATTGCTATTGTGTAGATCCAGACTGTATAATCTTGAGCAAGTTACTTAATTTCTCTGATCTTTAATTTGTTCATTTCATTTTCTTTTTCTGGGCACAATGCTTGGAACTTGACTGGCAGGGCCTTATACAGTAATTTTCTTTTCCTTTCTTTGTTCTGCCAGTCTCAATCTTATGCTTTCTCTTTTGCTTATGTAGCATCCTTTACATTATTTCTGTCTGTGAGTAGGCCAGATTCTAAGATGGTTTCCAAGATTCCTGACCCCTGGTGTCACACCTTGTATTATTCCTTCTCTGTAAGTGGGAAGTGAGTAGTACCTATGAATGTTGTGATACAGTGACTCCTTTGATTAGGTTATGTCATGTGGTGATGGGATAGTCACTTCCACCATTACATAACACGTAAGGCTCTCTTAGCGGACTGGAGAGGAATAAAAGCCAAAGAGTCATACTTCTGCTGGCCTGGAAGATGGTCCAAAATTCATGTGACCAAACATAGCACAGGTAGCCTCTAGATGCTAGCAGTGGTCTCTGACCAGCTAACAAGAAAATGGTGGCCTTAGTCAAAGACCCATAAGGAAATTAATTCTTTCAAGAACCAGGGAATTTGGAAGAGTTCCTGAGCTCAGGTGAGAATTGTAGCCCTAGCTAACACCTTGAGTTCTGCCTGGTGAGATCCTGAGCAGGGCACATAGCTAACCACACCCAGACTTCTTAGCCAGGAAAACTGATATAATAAGTGGGTATTGTTTTAAGCTTCTAAGTTTGTGCCAGTTTGTTACACAGCAATGGAAAATGAGAGTTCTATATTGCTCTATATTTCAATTTTAATTTGTATCATTAAATCAGCTGTTAATCACTCATCTTTAATAGGTTATGACAGGTTATATCGATGTAAAACAAGTTACATTCCAACTTGTTTTTTCCCCCAAAACTTATAATTTGAATAAAAGTGTGCTTTTTCCATCTAGGCATCTAGATTCTGCCCTAGATTTATGAATTTTTTCTTTAGTCTCTGAGATGAAGTTTTTATGTTACCTATCAGTAATTCAGTAAGAGTAACTTTTTCCAGTTCTGCATTAATGTAGAACTTATATAATGTTATTAGTAATATATTAATAATTTTATCTTATTAGTAAGTAAAATTTATGACCTTCTGAATGATCAGGAATGAGGCAGAAAGAATTTGGTCCATTTTAAAAATAACTAACCCTATACCCTATCTGATCGGAAAGTGAAAACTTATCAAAGTTTAGGCCCCAAAATCTTGTCAGCATTTTGCATCAAGTCCATAATTAGTGTTGAGATTTTGATGATTTTTTCCTCCTCTTTTTGCATATGGCTTCTGTGTAATAAAATATATTTTCCTATGGTGTCTAAAGCAATATTTAATCTTGAAAGTTCTGTTTTATCAGTGGTATTTGGTAACTAATTGAGACAGTTTTTGAACAATTGGATACTGTGTGCTTAATTGATTTCTGCTTTATAAACTTACATAATACTTTCATTAAGGATTAATAAAACAATTAATTTTCCATGATTTAAAGCAAAGTCCTAGTTTCTCATTGAATTTGAAATATTTACCTTGTTAGACTATTTGATTTCTACATAGTAACGACCCAGAGGCTTACTGTAACGGTCAAATTAAGGAGATCCCTAAAATAAAGATAAAACAAAAACTAAACATTAAGTGAAATACTTTGAAATTAATACTATTATTAAATAGCTCTAAATAATAGGCATTACTATGCACAGTACAAATATTTAATATAAATATTTTGGTGCTTTGGTATTGTGTTTCTGTAAAATTTGAAACTTGTTTTGTCCATTTTTACCATGTCTCTAGAATGGAACTTTAGGGCCAGGTACAGTAGCTCATGCCTATAATCCTAGCACTCTGTGAGGCTGAGGCAGGTGGATTGCTTGAGCTCAGGAGTTCAAGACCAGCCTGAGCAAGAATAAGACCCTGGGTCGCCCGTACCTAAGTGGTTAGAGTACCAGTCCCATGCACTGGGGGTGGCGGGTTTGAACCTGGCCTGGACCTGCTTAACAAAAAAAAAGTGAGACCTTGCCTCTACAAAATAGGTGGGTGTGGTGGTGGGCACCTGTAGTCCCAGATACTCAGGAGGCTGAGGCAAAGCAGGAGAATTGCTACCCAAGTCGATAGAATGAGATTCTGTCAAAAAAAAAAAAAAGAAAGAAAATATTGATTAATTGATTAAAGATGTTCAAGTAACGAGAAGAAAATTGCTAAAAATAAAAAAGAAAAATAATTAGGAACTTCAGAAACGTTACCATATAGTCCACATAAATAGTTTGATCATTTGGTAGCCATAATATGTAAGAAGTGTTTCTGTTATTTGAAAATACATTGGAATGCCTTTCAACATTACAAAAAATAATGGCCTTGTTTATACATGCAACAACGTGATCAGTCACAAAACTGTATTGAGTGAAGGAAACCAGATGAGAATATATCTACATTTATGATTCCATTTATATGACATTGTAGAGAAGACAAATCCAATCTGCAGTAACAGAAAACATATCAGTGGTTGCTGGCAATGAGGGAACATTCATGGCAAAAGAGTATGAGGGAACTTTGGGGGTTATAGATATGCTTTTGATTGTGGTGGTGATTACCTGAGTACATATTTGTTAGAATTCATCTACCAACCTGGGTGGCATGCACCTGTAGTCCCAGCTACTCAGGAAGCTGAAGTGTGAGGATCCCATGAGCCCAGAAGTTCAAGACGAGCCTGGGCAACCTCATCTCAAAAAAAAAATTCTACTTGGGACGCTGAGGCAAGAGAATCACTTAAGCCCAAGAGTTTGAGGTTGCTATGAGCTGTGATGCCACAGGACTCTACCGACGGCAATATAGTGAGACTCTCTCAAAAAAAAAAAAAAATTCATCATTCTATAATTGGTGATTTTTATTTATTGTACAATGATACCTCTGAAGAACTTAATACTTTTCAGTATTCTAACACAATATAATTTTTTCATCATAATTTTGAGTATAAACATCTTCAGAGATGTTTATAGACTTATTTTTGCTGAAAAGAAAGAACAAAGTCAAGCTAAAGTGATACTAGCATTAGATTAAACTCAAAGGCTCAGCGCCTGTGGCTCAGGGTGGCAGGTTTGAATCCAGCCCGGGCCCACCAAACAACAACGATGGCTGCAACCAAAAAATAGCCAGGCATTGTGGCGGGCGCCTGTGGTCCCAGCTACTTGGGAGGCGGCGGCAGGAGACTCCCTCAAGCCCAGGAGTTGGAGGTTGCCATAAGCTGTGATGTCACAGCACTCTACCCAGGGGAACAGCTTGAGGCTCTGTCTCAAAAAAATTAAAAAAAAAGAAAGAAAATAAAAAAAATAAAAATAAAGTATATTAAACTCAAAGAGTAACCTGTTTCCTTGGAAATGTGACAGGATTCTGAGTTTTGGCTTGAGATATACATTTTGAGTGTGTATGTGAGAATCCCTCAATAAAGATTTTTGTCTAATTATTTTTCTCTTTTATTTCTAGCAATTTTCATCTCGTTATTTGAACATCTTTAATCAATTAATCTATATTTATCTTGTCCCTTTATTCTGTTGTTTTTGAAACAAGGTCTCATTCTGTTGCCTGGGCTGAATGCAGTAGCCCAGTCATAGCTCATGTCACCTCAGATTCCTAAGCTCAAGGGAATCCTCCTGTCTTGGCCTTCCAAGTAGCTGGAACTACAGCCACATGCCATCATGCCCAGCTTAATTTTTTTATGTTTTTTATAGAGACAGGGGTCTTGCTGTGTTGCTGGGGCTGGTCTTAAACATCTGGCCTCCCAAAATATCTTGTACTGATTTTTCAAGAATCATGCTTTTTTATAAAATTGTATGTAACTTACTATGCCAAGATGTTAAAACAAATTTTATCTTAGTGGGTTATATTGATGTTTCCTTGATTTGATCCTAATATTTTGTTTTTATATCTTTTCTTATCTAGACTTCTTCCTTAAGATGTTATCACCTGGAAGCTTTTCCTCCTTTTGCTGTCAGTATTCTGCCTTCTGTTCTCATCACTTTTCACACAAAACAACATATATATGTATATTTTTTTTGGTAGAGATAGAGTCTCACCTTACTGCCCTCAGTAGAGTGCCATGGCATCACACAGCTCACAGCAACCTCCAACTCCTGGGCCCAGGTGACTCTCTTGCCTCAGCCTCCTGAGCAGCCAGGACCACAGGCACCCACCGTAATGCCCAGCTATTTTTTTGTTGTTGCAGTTTGGCCAGGGCTGGGCTTGAACCCACCACCCTCCACACATGGGGCCAGCACCCCACCCGCTGAGCCACAAGCGCCACCCAAAACAATATTTTTTTAAAGGCTACTACTCACCTTTAGTCATAGCCATTTGTCTTATCTTTAAATAAGAAAAGTTTAAGTAAGTTGACCTCTGCATTTGAGGTTAATTGATTTTTCTCTTCTTAATGAAATTCTTCCATTGTGACTTCTGTAGCATTATACACTTCTTACTTACTTTTATCTGTTATCCTTTTCTGACATCTTTATTTTTCCACATGGCTGAGTTCTTGTATCTTTGCCTTTATCCTTTGTCATTCCCACAGAGAATCCACAACCCCCTTTAGCATCTACTTTCTCATTGATTGCCACTTCTTGGCTCCTTGACTTACTGTCAGTATGGCAACAGCCTTCTAATTAGCTCCACTACCTTGGTCTGCCTCCTGTTTCTCCTCATCTTGCATAATACTGACCTTAAAAACTGTTTTAGTACACTACTACTGTCATAAAGTTTCTGCATGCTTTCGATTGCTTACTATAAACACAGACAACTAGGGCTGATAGCGCTCAGCTATACCCAACTTTTATAGCAAAATTTAATGCTCCCTATTTTTCCAGAGCCTTTTTTTTAAGTAGGAATTTTACTTTGGATGATTTTTTTTCTATTTTGTGAATTTGCACTGTACTTATTGCTTGGTAGTCTCTGTTATCACTTATTTAACACAGGATCAAAATGCTTTTCTAGTTTTGTGCTTAACCCACCCCCAAACTTGTTTGAGGACTATTTAAGGATAGATGTGATCTTTTCCTTTTATCTACACTAGAGTATGTTTCAGTAATGTTTATATCTTTGTATCTCTTATCAGTTGAAGGATTTGGGGGATATTAAAAGCTATATGCGAATGTTTTTGTTAAATATAATTTTGATTATTATAAAAGCAGGCTCCCCTTTACGTATAGACATACATACTTAACAGAACAAAATCACATGCAGTGTATATTAGAAGCTTGCTTCAAAACATAAGATGAGATTTTCTCATGTTTATGTGAAATTAGTGACATTTTATTGTTTTTTGTTTTTCACATTAAAGTGTGCTTTATTAGTAACAAAGTATGCTTTTTTTTTTTTTTAAAGAGGCAGAGTCTCATTTTATTGCCCTCGGTAGAGTGCTATGACATCACAGCTCATAGCAACCTCCAACTCCTGAGCTTAGGCGATTCTCTTGCCTCAGCCTCCTGAGTACCTGGGACCACAGGTGCCCACCACAGCGCCCAGCTATTTTTTTGTTGCAGTTTGGCCAGGGTCGAGTTTCAACCTCCCGCCCTTGGTATATGGGGCTGGTGCCCTACCCACTGAGCCACAGGTGCCACCCAGTATGCTACTTCTTGATGGTTAATAATTAGTAAAACCATTTTGCTATAGGCTTTATGTTTATTTATGTTGTTCATATTACATAATTATGTTTAAAAGGTTAAGCATTGGGTACAAGTGAATCTTTCGAAAAGCAGAATATAAACGTCTTGACACAAAAACTAAGAAAATGACATAAAGGCTATGTTAACCAGTTTGATGAAAATATTTCAAATTGTATATGAAAACACCACAGCGTACCCCATGATTGCATTAATGTACACAGCTATCATTTAATTAAAAAAAAAAGTTAAGCATTGAAATGTACTTTTTCTTTTGAGAATAGTACAGGCCTCTTAGACCTTATAAGATAAATATGTGAGAGCTCTTTGTTTAATCCTTAGGCTTCCTTTTTTGGCAGTGGAGGGGCTCTAGCTCCATCTTTTTCTCCTCGAGGACAATATGAACATTACCATGCCATTTTTGATCAAATGCAGCAACAAAGAGCAGAAGACAATGAGGCTAAATGGAAAGGAGAAATACATGGTCGAGGGCTTCCAGAAAGGTATGGCTATGTTCTGCAGAAGTAACTTGTGTTTTGCTTCAGAGAAAGTCATCAAAGTCACTATGCATATTTATCTACAGAGGAATTCTGCCTGGAGCTCGTCCAGGATTTCCTAAAGGGGCTGCAGGTCATCAACACCATTTCCCTGATGCTGATGATATTAGGAAAACTTTGAAAAGATTGAAGGCCGTGTCTAAACAAGCCAGTGCAAACAGGTTGGAATGTGATGATCCATGAGTTCATCTTTGTGTATAATTTTGTCTTCTGTCACACATAGTTTAGTATCTACACTTTGTAGATGTTTCTTCATTCTTTGCATAAAACGTTCTCTAGGTCCTGGATGCAAAGATTTTCTCAGTTGCAGATTTGGCCCTTGATTACATCATGTGAGCATATAGCTCTTCAATTTATCCTAAGTTTTTTGTCTTGTATGTTTTGACTGAAAAATGCTATTTAAATGAACATAGAACTTTCAGCCAACATATGGTTGTAATATGTTTCATTCATTTGCTTTAAATGAATCAGAATATAAATTTAAAAGGCATCATTCTTTATGCAGAACTCTAAAACATGTCTTTTTGTCTTTTTCTTATCACTCAGAAGCTCACTTTTTCTCTTTGTCGTCTTAGTATGTTTTCTCTTCATATTCATCTTTGATTTATACCTCTTTGTGGGTCCTTTTCATAAGATTTTTTTCTTCCATTAGACTAATAATAGTAACTGTCAGTGGCTATAACTCGCATAGTTCTTTTTTTCTTATGTATGCATATGTATTTTCTTAGACATTCCTATTCTATAAAATGTGAATTATGGAAGAATAGATGAGGTTTATGATAATTCAGTCATATTTTTTTTTTCCCTGTGTTGAGTTTAAGAAAAATGTCATTGAGTGTTATAAAAATCTTTATGATTCCTCCACCCTTCATAAAAGATGATTAATATATGCTTGAGCAGAGATAAATTATTCAGGTAAATATAAAGTAACATTATGAATACATTATAAATTACATATATATTATTTTTAAAGCAACTTTAGTTTCACAGCAGAATGGAGTGGAAGGTACTGTGTTCTCATTACCCCCACCCCACACACATACAACCTGTTGGCATTCTCAACTTGAGTGATGACATTTGTTGCAGTCAGTGAACTTACACCCGAAGTGGTGATCCATTATCACCCTAAGTTTGTAGTTTACATTAGGGTTTTCTCTTAATGTTGTACATACTATGGGTTTTGACAAATGTATAATTGTATGTATTGACCATTGTAAAATTGTCATGCACAATAATGGCACTGCCCTAAAGATCCTCTGTCCTCCACCTTATGAGCGCCTTCCCTTCTCACCTATAGCAACCAGTGGTCATTTTACTTTTTCCAGAATGCCCTATAGTTGGAATCATACAGTATGTGACCTTCTCAGTAGTGGCTTCTCTTGGTAATATACTTTTTTTTTTTTTTTTTTT